CGCCTCCAGGGTCACTGCTGTCATCCCCTGCTTTCCGTACGCCCGGCAGGACAAGAAGGACAAGGTGGGGGTGAGGGATATCTGTCTACTTACTTCTGTCATGCCATTTGCCATCCAGCACCATGACAAGAAGCCTGCAGCCATGCCCATCAGCCAACAGGGCATATTTGCTTTTCTTTGTTTTTGTTCCCTCCTCTGTATTGTTTGCTAAGTTAACTTGAATTGCACTTCCATACCTCCCCATGCAGCTGTTTGGCATTTTAATCATACAGCACAAATCAAATGTTTTTACATGTTAATCTACTAAATAAAAAATGTTAATATAATATTGCAATGTGAGTTTGCTCTGTAGCAGGGCCAAAGCCATCATTCTCAACTGTTTTGGCTATTCTAATGAATGCCTTTTGTAGCTAAATCAACCCATCTACCTCTTATATTGTCAGTACTAATGTATAGTGTCACTATGACAGGGTAACCTGCAGCATTTGGCTGCTATAATTTTACTGAACTGCTAAGCTCTCTTAAGTGTTATTTTTAGAACTGAGCACTGCTTGCCAGTTTGCTTATTCCATGTGACTAACAAGAGCTATTTTCATTACAGAGCCGTGCCCCTATCTCTGCCAAGCTGGTGGCCAACATGTTGTCAGTATCAGGCGCTGACCATATAATCACAATGGACTTGCATGCTTCACAGATCCAGGTGAGCAACACAACAGTACATGCAAACAGACTTGTTTCTCATACACCGCCCTCCAATTGGTCAGCCCTGCAAAATCACCATTTTGGTTTGCATTTTAAACTCCCATGTGGCTGACATGTGAAAATTTGCATTGTGAATCTTGTTGTTTACTTGGATACTATAAAAGAAAATGAAAGCCCATATGTTTAACCAGTGTGTGTGTGTGTATATCTCTTATTTGCAGGGATTCTTTGATATACCCGTTGATAACTTGTATGCAGAGCCAGCTGTTCTGAAATGGATTAAAGAGAACATCCCAGAGTGGAAAAACTGCATCATTGTCTCACCTGATGCAGGAGGAGCCAAGAGGTATGCTCCCACAGGAGTTCTAGCTTTAACCATAGCTTAACCTTTCCATATCTTCTCTAGAGTTTAATTTAGATTAACATTCTGTTGGCTTTACCTATCTCAACAGGAGTTTAATTTGATATGTAAAAGTAGTTTAAACACAGAGCTTTAACTGGTGCAATGCTTGCTTTTTCTTTTGCAGGGTCACATCAATAGCAGACAGGTTGAACGTGGACTTTGCTCTTATTCACAAGGAAAGGAAAAAGGCGAACGAGGTGGACCGCATGGTTCTCGTCGGAGACGTGACCGATCGGGTCGCCATTCTTGTGGATGATATGGCCGACACATGTGGCACAGTCTGCCATGCTGCTGACAAGTAAAGCACTTTCTTAATCTTTTAAATTAAGTAAATTTTGAGCTTTGCTCCAGAGCAAGACGCAGAGCTATTTGGGCTACTGTGGAAACTAAGTGATCATTACTGAATCCCATTTAGACATGTGTTTTGCAGACTGTGTCCAGTGATATGGAGGCTTGTAATGCATCTTGCTCTTTCTCTCTTTTAGACTCATTTCTGCTGGAGCAACTAAGGTGTATGCCATCTTAACTCATGGCATCTTTTCTGGCCCAGCGATCTCCCGCATCAACAATGCTTGTTTTGAAGCTGTGGTTGTCACCAATACGATCCCTCAAGAGGAGAAGATGAAGCATTGTTCCAAAATACAGGTCAGGAAATTGAAAACCGTTTCCAGAACAGAAATTGACATAAGAGCTGAAAAACGTCAGGTTGCTGTGTGCATTTTTGGAAAGCTGGTGTTTGAAGCTGCACAGTGTCTTACAGTTTGTGTGACATCTTGTTCTTTCTTGCCTTCAGGTTATTGACATCTCCATGATCCTTGCTGAGGCCATTCGCAGAACTCACAACGGCGAGTCCGTGTCGTACCTGTTTAGCCACGTTCCCTTGTAACAAAAGCTGTCTACCATCAACCTTGTGCTGTTAACACCAAATAAGAGAAGAGGGATTTTCCCCAACTCAAACACAACCATTAACAAAGATGTTCAGCTAATTGTTTGGAGGGAAAAGAAATGTCATGTCTGTTACTAACGCTGGCCCCACCTCACTTTAAGTCCTTTCCCTTTCAACGGTGTACCGTCACGCCTCGGGCGCCAAAGCAATCACAAGCTACCAATTCAGGCTGGCATATTTATTTTATATGGATAAATGGTGTTTTATCCACTGTGAACTTTGTTCTTCATTCATAACTTTTCGATCCAGAGTTTCTCCTGACCATCTCACCTCTGCAGGAGTAATTTCAGTCTGTTGTCAAAGAGCTAATATGAATAACCCTGGACGGCTCCAGTGGTCAGGAGAAGCTTCTGCTACATGAAGCTGTTACAGTGCTTTTTGTTACATTGAACGAGAGTAGTTTTTTTTTGTTCCTTGTTTTATCCACTGCTGTTTAAAAGATTATAATTACTGAAGTGAATGTGTTTTGAGAGAGTTTACAGTGCCACTGAAGCTCCACTCAACCAAGTGTGCCTCAACAGTCTGAAATGAAAAGATTTTTCTTGCTTTATTTTATTTCCCTCCCTCCCATGTTTCTGTTTGGATTCCCATTGGACAAAGCACTTCGGTTTGTCTTAGCAGGCTGAAAACAATCATTTTGGATATTTCTTTCGGCTCTTGAGGTGCCCTCATTGAGTGGGGTTTGCCCAGTGTCCTCGAGGGTCTGTGAGGAGCCTTCCATAGTTGGGTTGTTTGGTTTTTAGCTTGGGGTCTCTGCAGGCTGGAGCTTCCTTCAGAAATGTTCACCTGCCTTTTATTTCTTTGTCTGGAGGAAGGAGTTCTTAGTTATGTGCATAATCCAAATCTTTGTGTTTTTATTTTTTTCAGTAGACTGAATGTGCCAGTTATTTGATGAATGCATTCTTAATACAATTAAATATGCATCAGATCTTAAACATGGCTCTTCTATGTCTTTTTTCTGCTTAGACACATGAAAGTTGAACCCAGTTGAGGTTGTCCGCAGTCATCTTAGACCACATAAAAGTATATAGTCCATTTGAGTTACATTCTCAGTACTAGGAAAAAATGTCTTTTATTAAAATGCTGTTTAGATGGAGCTCTCAAAAACCAGGAGTGAAGGCTGCTTGAAATTTCACCTACAAATTAACCCAAGCTGCTACATGGGATCAATGAGATGTCACAGAAGGTTGTACTAGACAGTTGGCGGATTAAACACTGTAATGTGCAATCCCACGGTAAGACATTCACAAATCACTCCACAAGCTCAACTAAAAAAAGTTCAGCACCGCAGTGCATGTGTGGGGGGGAAAGGGCTGCAAATGTTAAATTTAAATAAAATCTTATATTTAATGTTTTGGGGTTTGTTTGTTTTTTGCAAAATGGAAAAATATTAATCAACGTACCCTATGAAAAATGTGTTGCATCTGTTTTGTATATGGCCTGTAAACAACCAAGGCTGACACATTTACATTCCAGGTGTCTTAAAAAAAAATTCAGGTTCAAAATGCAAGATGGCTGAAAGGGATATATATTTGTTATTCTGGAAAGTAAAAATCACAACCTGTTCATTAAAATGTGTTCAGCATTTGCACATTGATTATTCATCTGATCAATCATGACACGTACTGTTCTCCCCTGTATAAGCCATCGATGTAGGGTAAAAGTATCAGTATTGGTATGTTGTAAATGCCAATACTGATCCTGCATTTACTTGGTATCAGATCAAAACCCAAATCTGCAGTATGGCATAGCACTAATGCACAATACTTTAATTAGACTGGATGTAGCTCATAGCTAATTTCCACAATGTCCTTTTTCCTGTAACCTGGCTTATTTTATTCTTTTTAGTAACCAAGGATACTTTGTATTATTTTATATTACTCCTGCATTTTACCGTAATATTTTGTGATGCCATTTTTTAATGTAATCCAAATATAGAGGGCTGTCTGTTTGTTTGCCCACCAGATATTCTTGCAATCTGTAGAGTCTGCTGATAAATTTATATTTTGAAAGGGAAGATGAGGTTCTTTATACATCCGTTATCAGTTATTGGATTAGTAACTTAAATATTTTCTTAAAATTGCTGAAATATTTTAGCTTTGCATTGATAAAACTCCGTGGAACATCAGCCTGCCGGAAACAATTTCTTCATGGGACGCACCCTTCTCCCGAAGCTCGGTGTGGGGGGGAAAAGGCGGTCTTGACTGACAGATGATACAACCAATCCATTGTGTCGTGACGTAGCTCGTCTTGTCCAATGATTATTCTAAAGGGGGCGGGGTCAGTCATAGACACCAGCAGATCAACGCTCAGTGCGCCTTGCTCTCTAATCCCATTGCAGACCCAGGTTAGGGGAGAAACAAGTAATGGAAATGGTTCAAAGGAAAATAGAGGAAGATGGTGACATTCACTGCAGAGGTAATAAATGCAAAATCAGATGTGAAGTCCAAGATGGAGAGGATTCAGATTATTGTTAAGGCAGCATGCCATAGTTTAGATAAGAAGAATATCAGGTGGGTGGATGTAAGGGGGGACTAAGTAGTCACGGAAGTCAAGAGGGATAATATGGTGGTTAATTTTTTATAACCACATTAATCCTAAAGTGGAATACAAGGAGTCTTTTGTCAAATGGTCAAGATTTTTAAAAAGTTTATATACAATCATACAGAAAAATCTGACATTTGTATTCAGGAAACATGGTTGAAGCCTTTTTGGGGGTTTTAGAGTGTATGAGTATATTGCGGTTAGATATGATATGAAAGAAGATGAATTAAAGATATTTCATTTTTTGTTTAATGCTGGACTCATCAAGAGGATCTAAGGATATAGAAGTGATGTGGGAGTAAAACCCAGAAGATGGCAGTAGTGCAACATCGTTGGATGCAGGCTGCCTTAAAAATGGAGGAAGAAGAAGAAGAAGGAATTCTATTGTGGACCACTTATCGGAGGAGCATCTGTGGTAACTACGGGCACAAGCAGAAATACCCTCTCCTCATGCAGCACTGGAAAATACAATAACGACACACCTATTCTGCCTCCACATTCCTACAATGATCTGTGGAAAATAACGAATTGTTTTTCTGGTGTAGACAGCTGACAGAGTAAGTAAATGATTATGATCACACACTGTAAATTGAGTTTTTTTAACCTAAGTGTTGTAAATGGCTTTTTTCATTCATTTTTCTCTTATAACTGACTGTGCATGCCTGACTGGATCTGCTTAATTTCTCTAAGGAGAATAATGGCCGGCGGTTCTGAGAGTAAACAAGAAGAAGAGGCACTTGGCAACCTAATTGTTCATTTCCAGAGCTACTTGCATGGAGGAACCTCCAGCTTGTTGTCCACCCTTCCCACCCTTATCGTCTTTCCTGTCTATAAGACTGTTTTTCGTCAACAAATCCACAACACCTCAGTTCACAAGGCAGTGGCACAGCTCTATAGAGAGGGCCCTGTGAAGCTCTATAGGGGTGTGGCTCCACCGTTAGTGATGAGGACGCTGAACGGCACATTGCTCTTTGGCCTCCAGGATACCCTCCTCCGACAGCTCCCTCTGCAATCCCAGAATGTCATCTCTGCCAAGGCCCTTCCTGCTCTGGCGGGGTTTGGGGCAGGTGTTGTAGAAGCCGTGGTTTTTACGCCCTTTGAGCGTGTTCAGAATGTGCTGCAGAACAGCCAGAATGACAGTCGTCTACCCTCGTTCAAGAGCATCCTTCTAAGGCTAAAGGCAGAGGGGATTGCTTTAGGCTACTACAGAGCCTTCCTGCCCATTGCAGCCCGCAATGCCTTCGGCAGCTCCCTCTACTTTGGACTGAAGGGGCCTGTGTGTGTTGCTGTGGCGGAGCAGGGGGTCTCACCAATGGCCTCCTCTTTCATCTCAGGAACAGTGATATCAGTGGCAGTCAGCTTGACTCTGTATCCACTCTCTGTGCTTGTGGCAAACATGCAGTCACAAGTAGGTGGGGACGTTAAAGGGGTCATAGCATGCTGGGCTCTGCTCTGGAAATCTCGTAATAGGAGTTTGGCGTTACTGTATCGAGGAGGTTCCATGGTTATCCTGAGGTCGTGCATCACTTGGGGACTCACCACTGCCATTTATGACAGGCAGGAGAAACGATCAGGCTGAAGATACGTGCTCCAGACATTTTTATCCACAAAAGTGTATTCAATTTTGATATTGTTCACAGGAGACATTTTGACTTATAACTGCAAGAAAAAAAACGTATTGATAAGCCTTTATAGTGTGGGAGTGAACTACCACAAGCAATTCCAGTACTCTGAAACCATAACTTTAACAATTATTCAATATATTACTTCCACCTGCGCTTCTCTGATGTTTACTGCAGCGAGAGAAGAAAATGCAGTCATACTAACAAGCTAATTTTCTGTGTCAAAATGTGCTATCAAGCTGACAGCACCACTGCTAAGACTTCTGGTCTCAGAGATGGGTTTGAATAGTTCTCCTTTGATGAAGTTGTCAGTCACATATGCTTTGAATTTTTATTGTTTTGTAAGGAAAGAAATTTTGCTTAGGACTCAAAAAACAAGAAATGCTGTAAGCCAGCCAGGCTTAAAGAATGGATGCCATAATATAGTCAGAAACACAGATTAGTTTTCTACTACCTGAGAATTAGGATTATCTCAATACTCATCACGTTGGTTGCTTTGTGCACTGCCGGTAATGTCATCACACAGCCACAATGTAGTTCTGCAGGGGCAGTCCAAGATTTTTTGGGGCCTAAAGCAGAATTTGATTTGGGGCCCATCAACCACCCACTTCAGCGCAGCCACAATTATCCATGAATTGTCCATGTTTGATCATTTGTCATGTCATACATGATCATGCCTTTCTAGTGTAGTGGAAAGAAATAAACCAAGTTAACTTTTGTAAATTCAAGACATCTGACTGTTCATACTGTTTTTAATGGCAGAAAAGTATATTAATTCATAAACATACCTTTATCCCAATGCTTCCCCCTCATTTTTTTTCTTTTTAGCAAAATAAGTCTTTTTTTTCTTTCTTTCTTTCTTTCTTTTTTTTTTTTTTTACATATTTGCTGCGGTCTACTTTAAAACACTTATAGTGGACATGAACGTGGCCGCAGCTATGACAGTGAAAGTGATCAAACCAGTAGCATTAACCTGTCATTTTATTAAAATATGTATCAAAAATATTTAGCTTTCTCTTTCATGAATACAACTTATATATCACAAGGGAGCCCACAACCAGCCCACAACCAGCTGCTTAGTCTGCTTATAGCTGACACATTAACTTATGCTTGTCCTACTTAAAAAAGGTCACTCCCTCTTTCTATGCTTCTATGAGGTCATTTACAACAAGCGAGTTGTTAATATCAGCCAGGTACAGCTTGACCACGCACACCCATTGACGAGAGTGCAAACTGCAAGTCGTAAGGTACTATTATTATGTGTTATGAAACAGGTTTTCTGTGCACAGAGGGAGTTATGTTGCAGTTTAGTGTAAAACACTGGCATTATACTGAATTATATTCAGTCTTACACTTTTTAATGTAATCTGTTATTTCCTCAGGACTGTCAGTCTTTCTGTAGCCAATGATTGAAGGTAATAATCATTGTTGTTTTACTTTTTTAAAAGTTAATTTGAATGTCTTTTGTTTGTGTGAAATGTCATTTTTATTCTGGGCATTTTATGTGCTAAAGAGGACAACCTACTGTGACGCATTAACTCACCTGTTGTTTTATTATTATTATTTTTAAATGATCCTTTTATACTGATCCTTAGCATAAGACCCCATAAATCTATGTGCTGTTTACATCTGTGGATTGCCGTCTTTTTGCAAGATAAACAATTTCCTTCTGGAAAAAAAAACAAAAAACCAAGGTGACCATGAATCATCATATACATATTATGAATTAAAGACTGTAAGAAAATAAAGCTAAGTTTCGGTCATACTGCACTGTTTCCTGACAGCAAGAAGGTTTTGGGGCAGGGCTAAGTGGGGCCTTCCTTTGAGGAATTTTCCTGCTCTTGCTTGTGGAAATGTCCAAACACATCCCGACTGGATGAATCAGGAAAATAATTCTTTGCTGCCTCTTGTTTAGCTAGGTTCCCCCCACACACACACACACCCACCCCAAGAGCATGCGGCTGCTTCACCTGAAGGTATATAATTTGCTTACAGCGTAGAACAGTAAAAGAACATGTATTTGACTGTCAAAACAGCATATTTTCCCCTATTTACTGCCAAACAAAATAACAGTTACTGGAAAATATAGGTGTTTTCCCACCAAGTGCATTAACAAATTACAGTCATTCGACTTTAACTGGTTTCTTTCCCTTTCTTGTTATGATTATTTTTAAGTTGGCTTGTCATAACCCTGTAGCCCACTAGATGGTACTGTGCTAAAAGAGAAAAACGTGAAATCCATCACATCACCTACAATAGGTGTCCGTTTTAATTCATCCAAACGTGCGGATACGTGAAGGAATTCATCATGCGATTGCAACACTGCATAGGAAGAACTTTGACCCAACATATCATTTTTAAGGAGGTTTGAGAGGGCGGTGAGACATCAAGAGTGTCCAATTAAAATTCGCCTTCTGAGCTTTGAGAGCCAATGAGAGCCAGAGGACCGGTGTCCATGTTGGCGTGCACAAGGGCGTGTTGTCTCTATTTAAACCGTTGGCTTTGCACGGATTACACACACATACACACCGTTACCTGTTAAAGATTGTCTTGCAACGCGGTCCTGCACCAGGTAAAACTCTTTAAATTGTTTTGTTTTTCCAGCTGTCTTAGCCTGCTGATAAATAATTTTTTTCTTAATTGCTAAGAATAAAATGCGAACGAATTGTTTATTTTAAGTGATTATTTATGTGCTGTGTATTAAAATATGAAATACGTTATGCAACGTTTTTGGTATGTAGCTCTTTTAGTACACTCACTGGTGTGTTAGTCACTTCAGTTATGGCGCAGGGTGTGTACAGATACCTGACAGTGCCTCATTTCTCTGCCCGCAGATTAGGGCTGTCTATAAGTCTTTATCAGGCTACCTAAGGTTAATTTTCCTGGACAGCCTGGTCTTTAAGGGGACTTTTCCCTAGGGTGGTGTTAAAAATAAAAATGCACCCATTATTCTGTGCGGTCTATTGGTGTGGACAGCAAAGAAGACAGACGCTCCCCTAATGGGATAGGTCACTGAATTTCCTAATACTGCAGTATTTGTGCCCCGACTTCAGTCCTCCTGGAAATATTAAGTTCCTATGCACATGCGCTTCTAATCTTATTTGCTTAGTTGGCACAGGTGTAAAATTCTCCATATCTCTTTAATAACTGTACATAAATGCAAATCAGTGCACAGACGCACCATTTTTCTCTGTTAACAAGAGCCATTTGTGGATTTGAATGCCACCCAGTTAAACACTACATCACGTTAGTTCACCTTGGTGAGATAGAGGTACAGATACTTGTTGTTTCAGGTGACTGCATGGTTCACAACCTCTTTTTTTTCTTTTTTTTTTTTCTCTCATGTCAGGTGGAACTTGGTTTGTGTACATGTATGGGCATGCACTGCAGACAAGATCTTAGCATGTCAGTGAGATCTTGAAAGCACACAAATTCTTCTCTTAAATCTCCCCTTTTCTGTTTTATAGAACTCCTCCAAAATGAGCGACAGCAACCCAGTCAACCAGGAAGTGGAGCAGTTCAACAAGCAAAAGCTAAAGAAGACTAACACGCAAGAAAAGAACCACCTTCCAACAAAGGAGGGTAGGTCTTTAAGACAAAAGAAGTGTGCTCCAAACAAGCCTCTCATTTACTTCTTTCACCTTTCCCCTTTACTCTGGCTCACTGGTTGGCTCAACTCCTCCCTGCTTTTTTTTTTTTTTTTTTAAATAAAGGTAACTGCAAATATTGCAAAACAAGGACCACACCCAACTACCTGAGACCTTGTACTTAGCACCAACCTGTAAGGAAGAAACGCACGCATATTCCCACTCTTGAAACTCTAACCAGCCATCTACCACTAAGAGTGGAAGAATACAAATTTTAGAGCAAATAAACGGAAACCCCAATCATAAACTGCACAATGGTGTTTTTTATTTTTATTTTTTTTAAAAAAAGCAGTGTTCATCTCTGGCGTGACATGCAGCAGCAGAAAGAGGAGAATAAAAGTGTGTCAAAATGCCCATCCTTCCCCTCTGAGGCTGTGAAGCTCCCTGCTGTCTAACTCAATCTTTCTTAATCTGAACACAGCTGTGGCTACTATAAGAGAGAAGAGGCTCCGAAGCAGGTGGCACTGTCAGTGCATGCTGTCCTCTTTATGAGTTCTAAAGACTTTTTTAGATATGTGATATGCGGTGCTGCCATCCAGAGAACAACGTTTCTCATTGCTTCATTTGGACAAAAATTGGACTTTAGGCACAGACGATAATCTTCATCCAGAGAAGTGGTTTGCACTTCTGACTGTAAAGTAGAGCTACAGGGCCCCATTTTTAGCTCTGTCTTGTGGCAAATGAAAGTTTGGAGCAGCTCAGAGGTATGTGAGCACTCGTGTCATAATGTTGTGCTCATCTATCTGTTAATGTGACGCGATGCATTCACAGTTGAAAGTGGAAAATGTGGAAGTGATATGAAAATGTTATTCATTCATTTCTGTCACGCCTATTGCAACGAACGGAAAGTGGCTATGAAGATAATCTATTCAGATACCACGCCATCTATAGAAATGAGTGGATGACTCAAAGGGTGTTAACTGGACAGCAGCAGGATAACTGCCGTAATGCAGTACAGACAGAATGTCTCTTTGTGCATGAAGAATTGCAGTGAATTGATTGGTAAACAAACATTCCTTGAGTTGGGTTAATACGCTCTGTGCTTAATACAGCAAGTGGGTTATGGTTGGTAATATTTTAAATTTTTGTGTTTTCTTCCTCACAGAAATTGAAGCGGAGAAGAAAGCCATGCAGCAAGGAAACTGAAGAGAGTCATGAGTCTCCTTCAGTCGACGCCCCCCCCCCACCCGCTACCTGCTCGTCTTCCAAGCCCAACCATCCCCACCTCTGCCTCAGTTTTCTGTGCCACGCTGTCTTTGCTTTGAAATTGTGTTTGGGTTGACGCTATGGGGAAAGATCTGTCTGTGATT